AAAAAACCCTTATCAGTGACTGGATTGCATGTGAACGCCCAATTATCGAGATAACAGAGGGGAGCAAAAATCAAATAAGGATATCAACTGCAAATTTTATAGAAACGCGTATAAATAAAAAAAAATGACCTACCTTACATTTTCCACAACCACAACATAGTAAGCTAATGGTCGAGTAGAGCTCATACTTCTGAAGCGGTCTTCAAAAGCCTCACGTGATACATCTCCAACAGTTGTCAATTGGGCGAGAACTTCTAGGAATCTAAACAGAAACTGTTACAACGACAAAACTGGAAGCTAAATATCACGCTTGCTTACCCATTATCATAATCAGTGATTTTCAAAGGTCTTACGTGGAAACCATTCAGTACTTCACCAACAACTTCTGGAGTTAAAAGGTCAGGACTGAACATGTAGTCAGAGTAGTCTGTAAAAGGGCAAGATTTCTGGGGATTTTGTTCTAAAAAATTCGGTTAAAAAATGTTGAAAATTTCTTTAAACTTCCACATTAAAAGTCTGCAACGATATGCGCTCTTGACGAAATTACCAAGCAGAATTCAAGGCAAACGATAGATAACCGCTAACCTTCATCAATTTGAACTTCACGATTCAAAGGCAGCGATATGTGAGGCTGTAGCATTGGCATCTTGACTTTCTCACTGAAATCAATAGCACATGAGAAAGAGAAACGAAGAACCCAGCACAAATTATATATTCTCGAAAGAGAATGATAAAGGGATCGAAAGAAGGCCTAGCAATAGAACTGCAGCAGGTACAATGTCCCCATATATGGGTATTGGTTCTTATGATCTACAACGGACTCAGTCAGGATACTACTGTAGCATTGATTCGTAACTTCTGTATTTGACTCACCCAAAGTACGAAAACATAGGAACAATGTAGCCGGACATTATCGAAGATTAACGACAGCGGGAGCGAGAACCACCCTTTTATACGAGAAAGAAAAAAAAAGATAATTACAACAATGTATTGCGACGAAACCCTAAAGAATTCAGATTTCCCATTATTATTGCAGATACGTCTAGTTTCCAAAACCAAATTTGGGCAGAAACATTGAATGCGAAACGTCTGCACGAAGAAAGATGACTCATTGGCCCGCCTTCTTTCTTCCAAAAATTTGCCATTTCTATCATCTTGCTGCACATGACACACGTCTTGAAGGCTTTCTGATCATAAAAGGGAACGTTATAGAGACAATAAATTAAGGCGACAAAAGATACCAGCACCCGATGACTGTATGACTAATGACTAGAGCGCTAAATAGTGAGAATCATGGTAACTTTATACTTCTCAGACTTTTCCATTAAGTACAAAACGTCAATGTTTATCTAAGCCGAACATGAATCACTACGAGATGTGTACGCAGACTATAACTCATCTATGCATACAAAATATTCACATCTTCAAGAGAACTTTCAAAAAAGTTTCGTTGAGTCGTCTATGAAATCGTGACGGCGAATTTGGTTGCGGTTTTTGCGCCCATGCAAGCCTACAGCACTCACGCGAAATGGAATCTTTTTATTGTTCAGCTCAGTGTCTGAATACTATCATACTAAGCAGAAAACCATCCGAGTAAAGCTGAAAACCAAGAAACAGCGGCAGTGCGTGCGTGTCGCGCGCGGTCGCGCCACCGTCACGATTTTTCGAATGCCCTGTAGCTAATTATGGGAAAGATCCGAAGTCGCAGCGGCTATACGGAAGGAAATGCATAAAATGATATTGGTGGTCTTGTTGATCTGATCCCAGAGCTAACTTCTGTATCTACTGCGCGATTCTCTAGAAGTTTGGAAATCCTTCATACTAA